CCATTCTGAGCATTTATCCTGAGTGCTACTCTGTGGAAATATATGCGATTTGTTTACATAAGTGTCTAGTGGCAAAGCGTGCAGTAGAGATTAACATGTATAGCTGCAGCATAATGGGATGTTTTCTCATGCCTGCACGCAACAGGCTTCTATAGCACACAGGAACTATAGGCTGTGCTTTCTCCAGGCTAAGCTGGCATGTAAGCTTACTAAACCAATTAGGAGATAACACCTGGATGAGGCAGCATCTGATGTCCCAGGATGAAATCTCTCCCTGCCATTTTTGACATTTTGGAGATCACGCAGCCAACAGTTCACCTCTTTCAGTGGCACAGCTTGTCTGCTCCTCAGACAAGTGCAGGGCTACAAAATAACTACCTCTCCAGTCTCATCCAGGGCTTCACGTAACTCTCAGAAACATTGTGTACAAATCCTGACATTTCTGACAGACCACTGTGAGCAGGAAGGTTGCGAAGGGAAAACTAACTCTTGTGAACAACGTTGGTATCTCTAGCCTCAAACCTCTTCAAAGAAAATAGTTGAGGGACATCTGGACAACAATCACCTACAGTTTTCAGCTGAATGAAGGGCATCTTTTCATATCCTGGGACTCCCCTGAGTGTCTCTCGTATTAATCTGTTTTGCTTTCTTAGATTTAAGCTTTTTGGTGCAGGAATTGTCTTTAGATACACTTATACATCTAAATCCATGATTTAGTTACCTAGTTACTCCTGAGACACTGCTGTGCAGGAAATAATGGTAATCGGTTTTAAAAAAGCATAAGGAAAGTAAACAGAAAGATTTGAATACTATACGATTACTTTAAATGACCTGTGATACTGTAACTAATACACAGGATTCCTTCTAACATTAAGGTATGGAGTTATGGTTATCTCTTATTTACAAGGTATTGTGTGGATTATCATTTTGGGTGCACTACAAGTCATTACCCATATTTTAAGAAATTATACATTTTTGTCATTAGATCACCAAAGGAAAAATGGATTTTAAAATCCTGTACATCTTTAACATGTGACAAGCACACAGTAATCTCATATCCATACTCTTACATGGATATATAGATAAGCTTTAGATGAACGCATGAACATACAAACTCTATACCAGATTTGGCACGCTCTTTTCCTTCCTCATGTTGTGCTTAAGACTATGCTAAAAATTAAAAATAAACAGCAAAATTTGTCCATTTCTACTTAATATGAGGCTGATCAACATTTACATTACTCGTGTACGCCCATTTCGTGGTGCCATCTGGTGGCTACGAGTTTGTAATGCACATGCAGGCAAAAAATAACAAAAAAAAACCCTTTCCCAGCTCTTTTCTGACATTTTAAAGGAGTGTCAGTTGCTTCACTATCCTTATGCGTTCAACAACTTTGTAAAGCAGGGCAGCTATGTGTCATTATGGAGCAACTTATCTCTTTGATCATTTAATTCAATGCACTCTTAATCAGTTCTGTTTTAGGCCTTATTTAATGCTACAATGAATGGCTCTTAATTCTTAATAGCGTTACTAATATGAGCCCTCCGGACCTAAGAGAAAGAAGTCTCTTGAGCAACAAGCATGATAGATTAAACTGTATACAGCGAACACAGAAAAAATAACCAGCTTTCTCCTTCTGTTCTGCAGTGAATGGGATTAGTCCAGAAATCTCAAGGTTTAAACAGGATCGTTTTTTTCCCTACTGGGTCTCATTAATCTTTTGTCTTTACTAACAACAAAGCATGTCTGTGGTCCTCCACTAGCCTTCCCGTGGACTAGAAACTTAAACAGGCAGTAAAGAACTAAGGGCTTTTACCCAAATGGCAGAAGAGCTTGTTTTGCCTTTCCTCAGAACTTTGTGGGGTTTTTTTCATTATTCCTGCTACAGAATTTATGACTCTAAGACTGCTTGGGGATACTGGCAAAGTATCACTGGTACTTTGTATTCTAAAAAGTGAGAGAAATAAAATGGCTGTGGTTACTGGAGTAGAGAATACCAAAATTCAAGATTCTGCAAGGCTTTTTTTTTTTTTTGAAATTAAAACCATGAGTAAATACCTCAAAAGATATTTGCACCACTACAGTGTGATACAATCTGGCATGTTTCCTTATTCAAATGGATTGACTTACCCATTATCCAATCCATTCTGCCCAACCTTCTTTCCTATGTCACCTACCATCACACCTGGCACTGGTAGGAGAGTTTTTGTATCTCGAATCTGCACAGAAATGGAACAAAACAGTATTTCAGTGGTGAGACAAGTCTTGGTTGGACTTTTCAAACAGTGAAAATTCTCCCAACTTGTATTCTGTTACTAACATTAAAAAAAGCTTCCTGTTTCTCCAAGCACATAACCCTGGATATAACTTGTACAGATATACCGTCTCTTTCAGGACATAGATCCCACAATGAAAATGACTTAGGTAACATTACAGTGATTATACCAATATGTTAAAATATGCCTAAGCAAAAATGATCTCCCTCATCAAACTAGCGTTATACCCCTCCTCTGGTCTACGCAGACATAGGAGAAATCAGCGGAACTTTTATATAACAATCAGCTTTGAGATTTTCCCTGATTTTGCCATAAATCCCATTCCATCGACAACCAGTTTATTTTACTGTTTTACGACTTTCCTAGTGCACTGGCATGTTTTCTAATGCCTTTGATTTTACAAAATGATCTCTGCAGTAGAAACCTGGTTTCATGCAGACCATCTTGTAGAATGGACAGACATAATTCACCTTAAGCCTCACCTAAGACTTTCATGACTTCATATAGCATAGGTTATTTCTAACTGTATATGTAGTGTGATAATCTGGAGGCTTTTCAGCTCTTTCATATTTTCCAGTTACAGAAACTTGACATTATAAAAGTGGCTATCAATCTCCACAAAAACTCAGTGAACATTTAAAACCAGTATGCTTGTCACAATTGCAATAAATGTTGATGGCGTTAACCAAAGAATCTGCTGGTCAGACATCAGTAACAGTCTACTAGAAAACTTTAATTTTAACCCTGTCCCCACCACCAAACGATTAGCAATATTATTATCCTACCTGTACAATAAAGGAGTGCAATCCATGGCATTGTCCATCAGGAGTATAGAGTTGGGCATACACAACTGCATGAGTAGCATTTTTCCCCATATTACCAACCCAGAACTTTGCAGCTTCAAAATCAGGAGTGTTGATGATAAATTCCTGTAACCACAAAAAACAAGTGGACAAAGTTATATAAATCATAAAAATCAGCACAGTTACTTTAATTTTGTTCATGAGCACGGCAATGTTTCGAAAATGGCCATTAACTACCAGGGTTTCATTCTATTCTTGACTTCAGCAGTGTGAGACCTCTCTTTTTATCCTGTGTTCAACTTTGGAGAGAATACATTGTCTAAGACAAATTTAGAGCATAAGGTCATGACTTCATTGCAAGGCCTAAAATTCAACTTTCTAACTGCTCATTTTGAGAAAGCAAAGTGAGGGCCTCAGTAGCATTTCCTAGCTCCTGGGTTAAGATATGCAAAGTGGGCTGTGAGTCTATGTCGTTCTGAAACCTGTACAGGGACCATCTCCTTCTTGCGTAGTTTTCTGTGGAAAGGAAACCCGGCTGACAGTGTGAAAGGCAGCATACTTCCCAGTTTGGACAACTGGAGAACCATGAGTAGAGGGTATGCTGAAGAACACACGTACCCTAAAATTTAGACATAGCTTCAACATTCAGATTTTTAGATTCTAAGTAGTGTATTTTTCTGGGTGTAAAAGAAATCTAAATTCATGGCTTCATGATCTCATCAAAGATATAGTCATTTCAGTCTCTTTTACTGCAGAGCACTCTTCACCAGTATAAACCCCCATTTATTTTAATGGAATTTTCCATGCTGCTACTCTTGCATGGTTTTTTTTTTTAAGGATAGCGATCTGATTGTCCATACTGCTTACATGATCTTTGAATTGCTTGTTTGTGGAAAAATGCAGACTGGAATGTTGATCTACTGAAGGATATTCAGTGCTTATGTTTATAATCTATGATTCATATTTTTCATTCTTTTGAAGCCACTTAATAATGTACAGATAGGAGTATCTCGCGATGATAACAGCGCATAGTTCTGTACCTTAGACTGCCATCAAAGGCTACAATCTTTGGGGGAAGACAATAAACCTACCTTTTTGGGACATCAAATAATGAGCTTTAAATTTAATTTTTCACTGCAGAAGAATACAGATGATAAATCACAGAGAGTAGCTTCTATCAGCCCCACTCTTCTGTTTTTGGTAATGTAAAATTAATGCAAAATTAGGCTGAGCTCTACCCATTAACTGAAAAAGCTGTTATGAGGATGAATTAATTTCTGCAATAGCGATGATTTCAGGAAGCCAACTATGAATAGTAAGCAGTATCCTATTGCCTGTTTTGGGTATTTTTGATAATCTTACACCAGTTACCTCTTTTTTAAAACTTCTTTTTTCTCATCCTCAGGAAATAATCCTAACCTTCATATATAAAGTCCTCATATTTGAGGAAAAAAGACAATTTAATCTGCATGTCCAGCTCTTCCTTAACAGACATAGCAAAGGAGAAGGATGCTATCCTTATATCCTACCCAGAACCTATAACTACTTTTACAAGGAAAGAGAAATTGCTGCATTTACTATAAGTACTGATATATGGTAGAGAGTCATTTCACTTCTCTGTGTTTTGTTTTGCTGTCTGATAATGGACTCACTGTGCTTTATACTTCTTTGCAAGTTTTCTGAGTATTAAACTCACTGATCTGTATTAGTTAAAAACATTACCACAGAACACTTTTTATTGTTTTGAAAACATTGGAAAGTTGTGCGGCATTGGAAAGTTGTGCGGCAACATGCTTAACTGCTGAAATTCCTATATCCACCCTTATGGTACTCTCTGCAGGAATCAATCTCTTTCTCTTAGAAACACATTAAAGAGAGAGAGGGTAGGGTGCCTCTGAATGAGGCACCCACAACACGTGAAGGGGAACATACTTCTCTGTTTTGTTTTTCTTGAACTCGGACTCTGCAAAAACACTCTTCTCTCCAGTGTATGCATTTGATAATTTTTTTTATTTAGAATTAAACTTTATTAATTCTTACTAGTCAAACTTTTTAAATCATTCTGTCTTGTTAATAAGTAATAGTACTTAGCAGTGCCAAACATTATTCCTATGCACTATGGACTAACCTGAGTGCTGCGGTCAAACGTGGCAGTAGTTCGTATGCCTTTGGTATTAGTCCCATGGCTGAGTTCAGTAAGAGCAAAACATCCAAAAATCTAAAAAAGGAGACATAAGGCGCAATTCAAGTCTAGTTTAATATGCCAGTTAAAACCACAAAATTTCCAAACGATTGAAAATCCGGCTGTTGGATAGTGACTTGTAGTTTTAAGAAACCAATCAGATCTAACCCTAAGGTTGGCATATCTTGCCTGCAGTAGGGTGACAGATTTGTTTCCTTTGCTAATGGCTGACTCATCGAGACAGGTAGCAACTGTTACATCCACCCAATATGTAAGTATCTTTGGCTCTCTGGGCAGAGAAAACCGTTGCCTGGCGAAAACGTGCAAGCCCGCTCACTTTACAAGCAGTTCTGGGAACTCTCAAGTCTAAGAGAAAGAACAGTACGAGCCTATGTTTATTTTTAAAATTGTCAGTAGCCTTAATCTTTAGAATAGGATAAAATTATATCAGATCAATGTATGCATACACTTCATTCTTAGCAGTATTCGGGAAGACCACTTGCTTGACCCCACATTGAAATCTGCATATCATCTCCCCTTACCACTGATCTGTTTGGCCTAGAGCATATGCTGTTATGTAACAAACCTTTGGAAAAAAAATAATTTTAAACTGAAGCCTCAGGCAAAATTATTCCGACAAATGCATATCCCCAGGCTTTTGCCCACACTGAGGGTCATCAACAGAATTCATCCTGATCTTTAACATGCAGTATCCAATCAGGACTACACATCAGTATATTGCTGTCTATTTGCTGAGAGACACAATTTAAGACACTAAGTTAAATACACAAGGACAGCGAGTGGTTGACAATAAGAAGATAAAAAGTGATAAAGAATAACAAAACAAGTGTGAAGCTCAGGAAAATATGAGCGCACTGAGAACACATATCTATCTTACAAAAACAAAGAGGGTTAGGCCAGGGAGCGAACTCTGACCACATGGCCAAATGGCATAGACTGTTTAGGACTGTTTAGGATTGGCTCTTTCTAGATCAGATTGTCTGTATTTACTCTGCGAAGGACTTCGTCCTTTGGACTCTGTGTGGTGTTTCCATAGCCATAAGACATATCATCAAAACGGTATTTTTATAGCATCATGCAAAGGTACGTGTTGCAAGTGTATAATGTGGATACGGGAGTATCCAAGAACGCAAAACCGGCTAGGATATGTTACAGGACTGTAGAAGGAGATAAAACTGGGACAGTCTCCCTGTAATTGCCTTTTGGGAGAAGTCCTTGGAATGAACTATCCACAAACATTTTCTGCATGTTGCCTTTGACAGCTTAAAACAGCTCCAGGAAGTGGTGCAACAATTAATAGTGAGGATAGTCAGAGCTCAGTGCTTGAATCTGCTCCTTGGTCTTTTATTTTGCTACTTAGAAGTTACCTAAGATAGATACCTAAGATATCCTTTACCTAGATACCTAAAGAGATCAGAAAACACACAAAAAGGTGCGGGTACTGAAGTAATTCTGACAGTATCCGATTCTCATAAGTTATCAGAAAAAATTACCTCCATGCTATAAACTTGTTTCACAAAGTCTGCAAACCTCTTAGAAGCACTCAAAATTGTACCTGCAAATACCTGCAAAAACAGAGAATTATGAGTGAAATCCATGACCTCATGTTGGAAAGCACAAACTGCACAACCAGAATGGTTTGTAATAATGAAGCCCATTAAAGAAACAGGGGAGAGAGGTTGCCCAGTAAACTACTACTTACACTATACTTTGAGGACATAAGTCCAAGATTTCATCTTGCCATAGCCCCTTTGCAGAGGTTTGAATGCCCTCTGAGGAAGAAACACACTCAAAGAGTGGATATGGCCTACTGACGCAGTACTTTTCATGACATAATCAACCTTTTACAGTTCTAACCTGTTCAAGCCTTCACTGCAAGCTCTTCCAAGTGCTCAGTAAGCTTACTTTCCACTTGTACTTATGGATGCCCACTAGAGTAGAGCAACAACTTAAAGAGAGTTTTAGTCTGTTTCACTGTAAATGACCCAATGACCCAGAAGACAGCTGCTTCAAGATCAGACAACATCATTGTTTTTAAAGCTATTTTCAGTTTTTCTGATAGGTATTCATATAACAAACTCGTAATTCTCTGACCCTCCTCTGTCCTGTGATCAGTGCTAATGAATTAATTCAGCTAATATTATTTGACCACCTCTGTTAAGTATTCTTTCCGGAAGACTCATCTGGGGGCAACTGATCAACACAACCCCAACCCACCGATGTCAAAGAGAATCTTTTCACAGGTTTTAGTTCCTTCTGAATACACTTGAATACACCATGCAGTGAGGCAAGGAAGTTTCTGATACCTATATCTGGAGTTATAATAAAGACAGAGACACCAAGTGAGGCACATATAACTAAGTTCTTTTCGCTGATACTGCCACAGAGAGAATGCAGAGGCGGACACAAAAGAAAGAGAAGATGATATTACAGGTGTCAGAATATCGTTCTGTGGCTCGGCCCATACTGCCTCAGCTTTCCTCTCCAGAAGTGATTCTAATGGAGATAGGACTTAATGACAAAGATCTACGAATGCCATCTCACGGCTCTCCAGTTCTTTTAAACAGTTAACTCAATTTGATTCTTAAAAACAAGGAAACAGACTGCGCAAAGATATTGCTTTAATAAAATAGGTAGAAAGCAACAGAATTAAAGATACTCAAATTTAAATAGACATCACTATACCTTTTTGAACTGTACTTACACCGCAATGTAAAAAATATTTGAGACACGGAGACCAATCATACATCCCTAAACAGTTAATCATATTTAATATCTTTAATGGTTTCTCTGTGATCTCTTGTGGAGTAAGAAAGTCATACTCAAAGAGCCTTTTACAGCGCAGGAATGTCAGCTCCCGATATTTCTCATGGCTCAAATCTTCGCCAGGATGATGTGCAAAGAAAGGATCATTTTCTAAAGCAGAGAAGATTTTATTCTTGAGGGAGAAAAAAATTGACATGAAAAAGTTTATCCAAGTGCATTAACGAAACAAGTTAATAGTCTTCTGGTACTATACTAGGCCTCAAACTACAACAGTTTGATAGAAGAGGTAACTTTATAGACAAAATCAAAACTCCTCAGAATTTAAAAATACATTAAAACAGTCCATCATTATATACATATAGTTAATGTAGCTCAATTTTATGAAAGCTTCTTAGTCATGAAGTAGCATATGACTGATTCACTTTGAATACAAGAGAATGGTATGGTACAACTTATTTTTTACAGCAGCCTCATTATTTCACTGTGAAGCGGTTGGCAGGACTCTGAAGAGCAATGGCCCTCAATTTGAGCGCAAAGGTAAAGCTCCTGGGATTATATTCAGTTAGAAATATGCTATAATGCCAAAGGCATTAGGCTACCACGACCTCTCTGCTCCCAGTCAAAAGCAGAGACGTACTCCATTTAACACAACTGCCACACATGGACGTTCAGTCTATGGATGTGTTTACAGCTCTACTTTAATCTTTCTTTTTTTCCTTAGATGATATGCTATAGCATTTTTCCCATCAAGTCTCTGTGTCTTGGAGACATCCATGCCTCCTTAACTGTTTGTCATATAATTCAGAAAAAAAAATGCAGTAGCTTAGGCAAAATCTTCTAAAAAGATTTTTCAAGTCCTCTTCTCCTCTCTGAAGAAAATATGACAGTATGAGGGAGGAAAAACACATGATTCCATGTGCTTTTCTTTGCAAGTTAGGGTCACTCCATCTCTCTGTATGAACAGTACTATTTGCCCATTCAAACACAGCGCACTTTTGGTTTTCTACGGCTTTTATGGTCTGCTGTCAGATGCAGACCGAGGCACTTTTGACTTCTCTGATCCACCTTCTAAGAGTCTAATAATTACAGTGAAATTTCATAATTAGCTTAAATACATGTAGATCTATTCCAGTACCAAAAAAGGCAGTTCTACCTCCTCCTGCATCCTCATTCCTACAAACTCTCTTCTGCTTGAATTAATCGCTTTCTTTTATTGGTAGGGTTAGCTTTCAGCCAGGTAGGCAAGCTAATCTGTGCAACTGCAACGCCACACAAGCGCTAATGGCCAGCACAGAAGATAGTAGACCTTATGATGTCAGGTCAAAGAAGGACAGAAACACTCCTTTTGGCGGTGGAATAAACTTAGATCAGTGAATTGTAAAAGCATGATATAACAACAGCCCTACAGAAATATGGTAGGATATACTTCTTTCTAGAGACCCGTACTTTTTATTTAAGTTCTGTAATGTAGCAAATGCTGGTTTTGCCGCTATTCATGAAATAAGCTTGACTAGGTAGCAACGTAGGTTGCTTAAAAGTCCATTTTTGCTCTGAAAATTGGATGTGGAAAAATAATTTCTCCATGCTCCATATCTGCAGAGTATTATTAAATACCCTCCCTCTGAATCAAGCACGCTTATTTCTACCGCTAGTTCTATCCAAAATTAAAACATGCTTACAACTCTCTTCAAAGCTTACCTTGTGCTGGATGATATCTTCCCCATCTAAAAACACAGCCATTTCCTTCCAATTGAAGGAAGCTTTCTTACGATATTTGCAAAGCGGTCCTTTAGGGAAATCTGGTATCAAAGTATCCCATGAACTTTGGCTGCCAGTTGCTTCTTTCAGATCCAGAGTGGATGCCATCCTTAGGTTAAACAGTGCTGCACCCAAAGGAAACAAATACACCTTGAACTGAAGCAGTGCAGGCGTCTAATTTTTCACAGATAATCTTACAAGAGAATAAAAATAATAAAAAGGAATTAAAGAGAAATGTTAAGTACATTCTTCAAATGTATGAGTTCAATAGCGCAGAGTCAACTAAAAGCTTGGCCTTACATTTTTCTAATTTAATTAGCTTGGAAAAAGCTAAGAAAAAAATGCCTTTGATCAAAGGTAAATTAAAGATATAGCCTTTGTATTAAAATGTGATGTAAAACTTATTAAATAAGCAAAATATGAAACAGATAACATCAATTAATATTTCATATTAAGAAATGGGAGATTAGATAAAGATCGAGGGAAGAAAATAATAATCTTTAAATAACATAGGTAAATAATTCACTTCTAATGGAAACAGAGAATAATAAAGTACCAAAGCACCAAATATGCATACAAAAACCCACTGAAATGCAGAAGATACCTGCAATACCTCTGCATTATTAGTAAATATTTAAAGGACTTTCAACCAAATGGCATGCTGGTTATATGTATATGTGTATATATATATATATATAATGAAGTGCTGAACAGCTGCTCATGCATAAATACCACAAGTCAGAGGACTTTAGGGAAATGGACGGAGCTTGGATCTTATCTTCCACTGGCTGAATGAGTTACTGGGTAATAAAACCATAAATACATGTACATCCAATTGCAAAAAAGAAATTCCTGTAAAATTCTGCGTATCTGCATCTACTTTGCCTGAATGAGAAAAGGCAAGTCATTATGCAAACAGCTTTTCTATACCCACAAGATATTTAGTGCAATTCTCTGTTAGAATTGAGTCATAATCATCTACTTTCACACATCCACAAAGCCCTTTCCATTGACATTGGTGTTTTGTTTTGTTTTTTCCAAACTAGGTTAGATGATTTAATCTGGCATATAAACTAAAGTTCTTGTGCCTTCAGAAAACTCTGGGTAGAACCTTCCCACTACCTAAAGACAAAAACTGTATCTCTTGCTATCAAAGCCTGCTTCCAAATAGCACAGTAATACTCCACCTAAATAAAACCCTACGTTTGTAATTTTTTATACTTGTTGCCAATTTTTTTCTGAAGGACTGAAGCATTAAAAAATTCATTTCAAAATTTTTAAATAGAAAAATTAGAAAAAATTATTTATTTTCCTCTCTAACCCACCTATTTCCTTATTGTATTTTCACACAGAATAGTCCCTGAGATAGATAATGAAACTTTTTCTTCTTTGATGTATTTTTCAAAAGTCTGTAAAATAATTTCTAGATACTTGAGATGATACTACTGTATATAATCTAGAAGAACTTTTGGATCAGTGTAGGAATGTTATAGATGAATTTTTCATGTGATAGAGTTATATATATTGATTTACTTTAAGTGATGTTTCATAATTTAATTTATAAAATTTCTTGCATAAATCCTATTCTCTAAGACAGGTAACTTTTCGTACATTCATTATTATTTTCTCAGGAAACAAGGACTTACTGTTCTGCAGCTGAAACTCTTTCTTAATTCTGCAAAAGACACAGTGTACTTCACATACTCTGTATCAAAGTTTAAACCAAGAGTTCAATCCCAGACTTTCTTTAATGATTAACCTTTCTGATTACTGACATGGGAACAGTCTCTCAAATGAGAAAGATATGTCTATCGTGGCATTCAAAAGCTAATTTTGGCACAATCTTGCTACTAAAGGTATCAATCCCACAACTAGATCTGTGAAATTCTGCAGAGATCTGCAGAAAAAATGTGGGTACTAATATACGCTGTTAGTAATAATTCTCCACAAGAGCTATTTATAAAGTGCTAATCAAGAAAACAAGTGCTCTTTATCAGGCAAGAGGGCATATTTATATCCTAGAAGCACAGATGTAGCATTTGGGGTGTGAAGAAACCGAAGCAGGGAAAGGAGGGTCTTCACTGTTTTGCGGCTTCCTGTAGTCAATCAGTATCATCCTGCCCCTTTTACAGTAGTTAGTGCCACTTTGCCTATGAAATCCATCTGTTGCACTTTAGCCACTGGAGGGGAAGAAGAGCTAAGAAAGGATGCAATATACATACTTTCTCCAACTGGGGGTTCTTCTGGATTGCAGGAGCAGACCCTCAGAGTAATTTCCCATAACTGTATTGAATTAAGACTAGAAATACCAAAGTGAATGCAGCCATGAAAATTCTCATTAAATAAGGATATATTCAGTGGACTGAACCAGACATTAAGACATCAAAGACACTAAAGGTTCATTAAGTGAACAGATGCACTCTGAAGTTATTGCTATAGAGAATGTTTGACTTGATTAGCTAAAAGCCCAGTTAATTATGTGGGGTAAGGGGAAATGGGGAGCTGGAAGGGGTGAGGGTAGTTGACAGTAAGTGATGATACAACTGGATACTGTGAATACTGTATACTGAAAGTGTAAAGCAAATACCCGAGTGGGTCAGTGTGCAGAAAGCTGGAGGCTGCCACAGCTGTTGATGTAGGTGCCTAAGTACTGATTTAAGGCTATTAATCTTGTCCAGAACTGGGCTGGCTCCCGCAGATCTACTCGGGTATATACTCTCTGTACCACCCCGGTATATCTGCCCAGACCATTAAGAATATAGCACAAAAATAAGCAGATGGCTTTGCATATGGTAAATATAATCACCTCCAGCCCTGTCTACCTGTCTACTCTCCTATTGCTTGGATATGATTAATATTTTTAATTGTAAAACTAGAACGATATCAATATGCTGTCCAACACTAACACTGATTGAACAGAACAGGCGAATGGGGCAGGCAGGAAGCCTTGTCCGCAATGATCTGTAAAAGGCACAGATTAAAACTGCGTAAACGAATTCAAATAAAACTACTGCAGTTGTGACTTTAAGAAACACAGACAACTGTAGAGCATTTCTTCCACACAGAAGACGCAATTCTAGAAATTTGTCTGCACATAGGTATGCGCTTAAGTGTCATCTTGACACGACTCAAGACTAGATTTAAAGCAATACAAAATATGATCTTCACATGTAAACCACACTTAACCTCCATTCTTCCCTCTTTTTTCCTCACAGTTAAAATTTTCATTTCTGTTATTTGATGGCTTCTAACATTTTTTAGTCTATCTTCCTGCTAAACATTTTTTCCAATTCCCCTTATTTATTTCTGTGCAGTTGGCCTCAGGCTCTTGATTATGTTATCAAAAGCATACAAGTCTGATAGCATTTTATTGTATTTTTATGGATCATAATATTGCTCTGACACATTACAAAACAGACCAGCAGAATTTAGTTATCGGTAGGTACAACTATATTGGTTCTGGAGAGAAGTGGAAAACCCTGATTTCCGTTATAACCTGACCCAAAGCATAACAGCTCACGCCTCTGCCTACTGCAGAAGCAGATGTTGAGTGCCCTCTGCCACTACCCACTCGTATCACATGCAGCAGTTTATGTCACTTTATTCAGATAAGCAGAGATCTGTGTTAAGCATGTCAAAAGCACAAAAGGAAGCCCAAAAGACTAGGCAGGGGAACAGAAGCTGGCCTGACAAGGGCCTGGCTGGAAGAAGCGATTCTCAAAGCTGCTGGGAGGAGGTCCAGCCTAGGGCTGGCAAGGGGCTCAGCAAGGACTACAAAAGCAACAAAGTGCAGAAACCGCTGGCTTAGCACTCCACTTGGTGTCATTCTTTTTCCTCCTCCTCTTGATCTCTCTCTTTGCTCCATTTCTTTTCTTTCAACCGAATCCTCTCATTGAGGCCACTTTCTAGTTCTGTATAAGAAGAACATACTAGAAGATGACTATACGACAGTATTTCCGCATGTGACTTCCTAATCTGTTCCGGGAAGGTGCGATTACAGTTTGGAGCAACTGTTTGGGAGGAAAAAAACAAAATCAAACAGGTAGTGCGAAAGAACATTTCACCCTGAAGCTGAATAAAGACATTACTATTTGGACAGCCAGTAAACAAAGTTTCTAACTGAACTGGAAAACAGGTAAATTAGGCAAAAGTTCAAGGCTTCTGGTTCAGAACAGGCATATTCTATAGGAAAATACTTTAGCTATTCAAACATGCATTTAGCTTTGTTTTCCTTGCAAATTAATGAGATTGTTCAAAAGAGAAAACTTAAGCATTCATAAAAAGGGACTTCACACTTTAATTCCCTCTTTGTCTTCACACAGTGTTTTAATTTAATTTGGTTCCTGGCAAACAGCTTCAAAATTAATTAGAAAATCACAATGGACAATTACAATAGGAAAGTAATAGTCAAAGGACTCCCCTAAAGAATAACCTCAGTGTTATTTTCATCCTGGCAGACTTGAAATCCAGTTCTTATATGTTTTGCAATCTGCATATGGGTGTGGCGGTAAAGAATAACGCGTATTGTTTTCAAATGATGGAGAGCTGCTGCAATTTCACTGCGAAATGCTGAGTTATAAACCTGTATATGTGGAAAGTGCGCCTGTTAGTAACTCAAATTCATAAAAAGACAACAAATAATGGTATGCAAACCACTAGGGAACAGCTCAATTTGCAGTATGTTATCGTGAATTATCTTGCATAATGATGATACAGCTCAGACACTTGGTAACCATCAAGAACAACGATGCTGCGTCCTCAGACTGACTGTCTGTAAGAAATTCCATTACCGTCAAGTGCAGACCTGCTAGAAAACGAAATTAAAAACTAACGATGGAAGTGGCACCTAAGCTATTGCCCAAGAAAGTGAAACGCAACAGCAAGAGAGATTAAACGTAGGAAAGCAAACCACTCATTTAAGAATACTTTGAGGTTTCGTTGAGGAACCTCTACACGTATTGCCAAAATTTGGGGCTGGGGCTTGTGTTCATTAGGGGAAAAATATGACTGAGTTGAGTACCTAATGCAGTCCTATTTACTAGAAAAGATGCATTTACTATGAATATCGGAACAAGTAAGATCTGTCTCCTTGAACAGGAAGAACCAAGCACCAGGGGCCCTATCAGGTTGTCAGTCCTGACGCCGCACGAGGCTTCCCCCCCGTCTTGTGTTTGTTTTCCGGTACTTCGTGGCTCACGGAGCTGTCGCCGTCGCTGTCACAACCGCGCAAACCTTCCTCAAACAACGGCCGTAA